CTGATTAGCCCTGATCACCCGCCAGACCTAGCCATCCTATCTGTGCATGAATTTCATGCACCAGGCCTCTAGTTAAAGAATAAAAGTATTACATAAAATATTAGTAAATACCAATCTAGTAGTGATTCAAATGTGTGATATACAATAAGTTTGTTTCTGGAATACAAGGATAAATAAGCAACATTAGTACAAAATGCTGGAAATGAAACTTTTAAAATATATATATTTTATTAATTTTTTTACAGAGAGGGAGAGAGTTAGAAACATTGATCAGCTGCCTCCTGCGTGCCTCCTACTGGGGATGTGCCTGCAAACAAGGTATGTGCCCTTGACCAGAATCGAACCTGGGACCTTTCAGTCCACAGGCTGACACTCTGACCACAAGCCAAATCGGTTTCGGCTGGAAATGAAAACTTTGTATATGCAAATAAATGGGTATATTCTCAGAAAACTTGAATGATTCCAACAAAATGTTCTTAATTCATTGAATTTGGTAACCACGTTGGGATTCAAGATAACATACAAAATATGCTAGTTTTTCTCCATTATTATAATAACCAGTTAAAACATAAATGTGAGGAGGGGAAATCCACTTACAATAACCTCAAAATGCATTGAGATAATTAGGAATGTAGATTTAAGAAGTTATAGAATCTTAAACTTCAAAGACATGAGACAAGACCTCAGTGCATGACAGAACAGACTATGTTCTCAGGTAGAAGATTTAATAACAAGACACAACAAAAACCAGTTTTCACATTAACATAGACAATGCAATTCCAGTCAAAGTCCAGGGAAGGGCGCTGGCTGAAATTATTTCAAGGTTTCATTTGTAAAGGTTAGTTTATACAGAAAGCAGGAGTGAATTCAGGGCCTTGTTTTACCAGATATAACTAACTGCAAAGCCAGTGCAATTAAAAACAAAAAAGTGTTAATTGCATAATAATAAAACTAGAACCAGAAGAGAGTCAGTCTAGTGAAATATCCCTGTGTCTTTTGGAACTTAGTGTTTGTCAAAGTTAAGTACCGGTCCCTTATCTGAAACCTTGGGGCCAGATTTTTTTTTAAGTGAATTTTTTGGATTTCAGGACAATAACACTAGGATATGGGAGAGTGCTTTGTAGTTGAACCACCAATAATTCTTCAAGTGACTTGTATAAGTGGGATACATAAAGATGGTACAAAACATAATGTCGGCTCATGTTTTGCCACCAGGTGAGTTATAGGGGGAAAATTTTGGGTTTCAGTTTTATAAGTAAAGTGTTGTAGACCTTTTGTGTCAATTCAGTAGGGAAAACTGGTTTATCTTATAAATTTCTGGAAAGGAAAGTTGGCTTCTATCTCATATCTTAATTAATTTGTTCCAGACCCCCAAATGATTCCCGTATTAAACCTTTCTTATTTAAGGTACGTGTCTAATGTGCTGCTTGATCTATAAATAAACACTTCTTAAATTTATTGAAATAACCTCTACTATCCTTAAAGGAATGAATCACTGTCAGCACTTGTTCCAGGGGTGTCTTTCAGGTCTGCAAGCAGCATCTTTCATAATCAATGCCTTCAAAATTCTGTCATTGGCTAACTGCTTTCTGATTATCCAAGTCAAGTCTTTCTACTTTTTCAGTTGCCTGTGATCATCATTTCTTTCACAACATTAGTAACTCTTGATGGCCTATTTGTTTTAAAATTGTGCTAATTGTCCATTTGCCAGCAGCAGAAGCAAAACAAAAACATTCACAGCACAGTTCCCTGAGCTGTTAACAACCTGAGGTTAGCAGAAAACTGACTCAGACTGGCTCATTCTCTCCTTTGTTTGTTATCTGAAAGATGCTTTTTTAAAACACCTTGATGTTATTTTATACATTACTACTTTTTTAGAATTATTTTTTTAAAATATATTTTTATTGATTTCAGAGAGGAAAGAAGTGGGTGAGAGAGAGAGAAACGTCAATGATGAGAATCACTGATCATCTGCCTCCTGCACACCCCCTACTGGGGATCGAGCCTGAAACGTGGGCATGTGTCTTTGACCAGAATCAAACCTGGAACCTTTCGGTCCATAGGGCGACGTTCTATCCACTGAGCCAAACCAGCTAGGGCTGAGAGATGCATTTTTGTCATGCTGATGGTTTCAGGTCGAGAAATGAAGTTTGTTTTCTGAGAACAACTTGGTAGACATTGGAATTGTTTGAGATGTGAGAAGTTGGAGAACTGACTATTGTTTATTCTGGTGCTGTTTGGTTATTGTAGCAGAAATCTAGAAACAATGTAAGTGTGCCTCAGTTGGGAGACATTGCTGTGTGTGCTTAAGAGTTGGAGAGGAACCCTAACCAGTTTGGCTCAGTGGATAGAGCATCGGCCTTCGGTCTGAAAGGTTCTAGGATCCATTCCGGTCTGTAAAAATCAATAAAATATGCCGGGACCGGTTTGGCTCAGTGGATAAAGCGTCGGCCTGGTGACTGAAAGGTCCCGGGTTCGATTCCGGTCAAGGGCATGTATCTTGGTTGCGGGTACATCCCCAGTGGGGGTGTGTGCAAGAGGCAGCTGATCGATGTTTCTCTCTCATCAACGTTTCTAACTCTCTGTCCATCTCAATTCCTCTCTGTGTAAAATCAATAAAATATATTTAAAAAAATCAATAAAATACATTTAAAGAAAAAAAAAAAAGTTGGAGAGGAGCTGCTCTGTTGTTGTATCCTAACTGCACCTCTCACATTTCATTTTGAGCATGTGGGAGTTCTATTAATATTTTGCCCAAGTGGTAGAGAAAATATGAAAAAAACAACACACACACACAAAGAAAAAACACAAGGCAAAGGCAAGGAAAGGGAGTACAAACAGCAAGTGAAACATGATGTAGAGTTGGCTGGGGTTCAGTAGGTAGGGCTTCCCCCAACAAAAATGGCTTTATCAGTTCCTTTCTGCTTATTCCCTTTGTAATGATGAAGGTGCGATTTGCCTGTACCTTCCCCACTGAGGAAATCACTTGGCAGTTTGGTGTAAATCCTTTCAGACAGAAGACTTGCAGCTAGAGTCAGTCTATCATATACATCTTTAGTAAAAGGCGAAAGATTTATGCGGTCTGAAGAGAAACCAGAGCATGTATCATATACATCTTTAATACCAGGGAGAGCAAGGTGTTCTTTTGAATGTATGATCTGTTTAACCACTTCTCCACTGAAGAACACTTAGGTGCTCTCCAGTTTTTCACTACTTAATGCACAGTTCCAATTCTTAGGATAGATTCCAGGAAAAATTGCTCAAAAATTTTTACTTTTTTGTTCATTTTTGTTTATCCTTACCAGAGGTTATTTTTCCATTGATTTTTAGAGAGAGTGGAAGGAAAGGGGAGAGACAGAGAGATACATCAATTGATTACCTCCTCACATATCCCAACCAGTGCTGGGGTACCTGCAACCAAGGTACATGCCCTTGACCAGAATCGAACTCCGGCTTTTCAGTCCGTGGGTTGATGCTCTATCTACTGGGCCAAACCGGCTAGGGCCAAAAATTTTTACTTTTGATACATTCCATTAAACTGCTTTCCAAAAAATATAAGTAAACAGTTTAGCCTCTTGTCAGCAGTGTAGAATTACACCCCATTACATTTGGGTGTAAGTCTTCATCTTGGAATCCTATGGATTAAAAGGATGTATATCACTTAAATATACTGTTTGACATTTGTACTCCAGTTCTATGCTTATCAGGGCAGCTGGCTCTGTTCTATTCTGGATTGCACATTTGGCTTTTGGTAGGTTTTTAAATATGTAAGCAAGTCAGATTTCTGTAATACAGCTGTAAGAATGTGTTTTTAATCAGTTACATACAGTAAGTATGGTGTGGAAGAATGGAGCATTTCAGCAATGATAAAATCATGCCATGGCTCACTCCATGCTTGGAGGATGGCCACACGCTTGTACTCAAGGTACACTTACAAACCCACACAAGGTGGAGGTGTGCAGGGAGGGAGGGCCCTGCCATCTGGCAGGCGGAGGGTCTTTTGGGACCCGGAGCAGCCTCTCCATCTCTGCCCCACCTGCTCCTATCCGCAGCTCATGATGGAGCAGTCTAAGAAGTCCTCCCTCATGGTGGCCCGCAGCATCCTCAACAACAAGCTCATCAGCAAGAAGCTGGAGGACTACCTGAAGGTGAGGCGCGGGCGCCTGGAGCCTGGCTGCATCCCAGTCCCCCCTCCTTGTCTCCAGCCCTGGTCCCGCGAGCCCTTCTCCCTTTAGCATCTGTGCCCTTTTCACAGGGCGAGAACCCTTTCACCGACAGCCCTGAGGAGGAGAAGGAACAGGAGGAGGCCGAGGGCAGCGCCCTGGATGAGGGGCCATTGATGGAAGTGGCAGGAGGCACGGAGGGTGCCGAGAGCACGCAGGCGCAGCCCCCGGTACCCCCGGAACCGGCCCCTGGCGCCGCGTCGCCCCCACCGCCGCCGCCACCCCCCGAGGAAGACGAGGAGGCCATGCCCCTGCTCGGCGGGGCGCTGCAGCGCGAGATCCGTGGCATCCCCGGCCTGGACGTGGAGGACGACGAAGAGGAGGGCGGCGGGGGGCCCCCGTGACCAGGGTCAGGGCTGGGCTGGACGCACGTAATTGAGGCTGGAAGCCTATCTTAATAAAGTTACTCCCATCCCGCCTCCAGACTGGTCTGTGGGCAGCGCCGGCGGCAGGTGAAGGCGGGACCTCGTCAGGGAGAGGGTGGGGGGTGCTTGCAGGCGAGACCTGGAGGGGCGGGGACAGGAGGGGCTGCGCCTGGGCGCGGTGAGGCCCCGAGGCCCGACCAAAACTCCCAAGATGCTGCGCGCCGATGCCTACCAACCGTGAGGCCGGCTGGGGAGATGGGGGCGGGCTCACCGCGGGAGCTCGGCAATGGAATTGCGCGGAAGGGATTACGTAGGCGCCTGCTCTTCCAGTAGCGGGCGGCGGGAGGCACGTTGGGCGCATGCGTCCGTGGCAGCCTAGAAAAAGGGACTGCCGGCGGGCCGAGCCGGAGACATGGAGCAGGGCTACGGAGGTTCGTACGGCGGAGGGAGGCAGTGGAGGGAGGGTAGCGCTTTCCGGGAAGCCGTCGCTCAGAGGGCCGCGGGGTCAGGGACCACGCCGGAGTCCGGTTACCGCAGCCCGGTCGTGCGGAGAGGCGGGCTGGGCGCGCGCCCGCCGCTCATTGGGCTGCGGTGCCGTCGCTCCCGCGGCGTTACGTGCGGATTGGATGGCGGCGCCTGAGGAGGCGGGCGGAGTTCGGCGTCCTGACGCTGGGATGGGCTTCAGGGGGCGCCCTGGGCCGTCGGGTCGGTTTCTAACCCTTAGCCTCGGCGGGTCGGGCCGCCTTGCTCACCGCGCCCGTGCGCACCGGCCCGCCGACTTCCCCTTCGGAAGACGCCACAAAATGGCGGCGCCGGGGGGCGGAGCCACTGTCCGAGCTCGGGGGGCGCAGAGTTCTCTCCCCGGCGGTCCGGCCGGTCCCGGGGGCCGCGGGGCTCCGTGGGGGCCTCCGCGCGGCGCACGTGGCCAGGCGCTGTCCCGGGGCGGCGTGGGGTCTGAGTCTTCCCCGCCAGCTCCGCGGAGTAGCGCGGCCGGACCGGGGAGGCTCTGAGAGGCGCAGCCTCGGGTTCGGCCGTGGATCTGCCTGACTCGTGCCGGCCCGGGACGGAACCGTGAGGGTCAGATGCTGGGTGTATCCTGGTGCAAAGCTGACGTGCCCGGCGTGGTGGCAGGGTGGCGGCTCTCCTCCAGGGAACCTCTTCCAGAGCTGTGTGAAAAGGACATGTGCCCTTCCCCATGTGGGGTGCAGGCCTGTAGCAGTCGGACCTTTTCCGGGACCTGCTCTTTACGTCCAGAACCCGTCTCCCCGGAAGCCTTTGCTCTGCACTGGAGCGAGTTTGCCCACGGGGAACAGTTGGACTTGCCCAGGCGCGGATCCCTATACAAGGATCTGAGGTTCGAGAAGCAGGTGACAGGATCTGGGAAGTGGCAGCTAGAGAAGACTTCTGTCTTGAAAAGGTGGCAGCCTTAGCCGCAGGAATTGCAGCAGCAGAGGGGTTCTGAGGTGCATGGAAGTGTTCGGAGTCCTCAGCCTGACTCTCACTCTTTTCTGCAGCCTGACTGGGTCTCATCGATATTTGTCTGCCTTCCTGCCAGATCTTCCAGCCAGTAATCCTGTATCATACAGGCCCTTAGCTTGGTGTCTCTTCTCCCCTCCCCCCCTTCTACCTGCTAAAAGCCTTCCAGGCTCTGTTTAGATGCCGCAGCTCCCCTGCGTCATCCTGTAGCTTTAACGCCTGGAGTTATTTCCTACGAATCACTGAGCCTTGACAGCGCTCCCTGACCCGTTTCCCAGCTCTTTGGTCTTGGGCAAGTGCCTTAGCTTCTCAAGCCTTTACAACAGGAAACATAGTCCCTATCTCAAGGGGCGTCATGAAGTGATGTGAGTAGCAGATGCCATTTGGTTAGGCTGGTGCCCCAGAGAGTCAGCGCCTGCAGTGCTGAGAGAACCGGCACTCTGCCGTTCTCTGTGCAGTTAGGGAAGTTGTACGGTGTGGGGGGAGGGTGCCTTGCAGAGGGCAAACCTCAGTGTGACTTTGGGTCAGATACCCTAAGGAGAGCCTCAGCTCCCTGCTCTCTGAACGGCCTCTGTGAAGCTGGCTAACTCATGCTCAGTGCCTGTTGTGTGTCGGCCCACCGTAGGCAGTCAGCTAGTGGTTTGGGGTGCTCATTTAAGGGAAATCAGATGCTTTCTTGCTTTTTAAAGGTAAAGTCATCTGACAGGTGTAAACAGCTGCCTGTGGCCAGCTCTGTGCCGCGTGCAGGCTTTTGGAGGTGAAGAGGGGCCAGACAGATGCCATATTGGGGTCTGGAGGGACAGAGGAGCGACCACAGAGTGGGGCACAGTCTGATCCTTGGGGCCAGGATGAAGCCCTGGGACTTGAAGGGGCACCAGACCATCGGAGGATTCAAAGCCATATGGAAGCGAGACCTAGAGTGGCACAGTTGTGTGTGTTTAGTTGGTGAGCCAGAGAGGGGAACGGAGCTGTGTCCTAATGATGGGCTAGCTGGTGGCTCTTCCTGTGTCATCCTCAGTGGTGGGGTGAGGCTTAGGCCAAAGTTCCTCGGTAGTGACAGGCAGAACTGGCTCAAGGCCCACTCCCCACCCCTCTTTTTTCTGCTTTGACCTCTGGCAGGTGGAGTGTGATGATGCAATCAGCCAGTTGTGAGAGGGCCTTGAGGGAGGCAGTGTTGTGGTTATGCTGCCCTCTTGTAAGGCTGGCACTGAACTCCTTTGAGGATATCCCTTTAGGTTCCTAGAGCTACCGCCAAGGCACCTGTTGCTGGTGTGACACATAGGATCCTAATTCATTGGTCTTCTGTTCACAGGCTATGGGGCCTGGAATGCCGGACCCACCAACACCCAGGGTAGGTGGAAACTGCTTTGTGGGAGGCATGGGCCCCGGGGACCCTCACCACCCCCTCCCAAGGCACCAGATGGACAGTTGTTCCTGAGTCTGCACCGGGAGACGGGCGCCAGAAAACCTTTTCCGTACAGGGCCAGCCAGTACATGTTTTCGGCTTTGCAGGCTCCATGATCTCTGTAGTAGCGAAGACACCAAAGACAAATAGGCATGTCGGTTCCAATATTTACTGAAGGATACTGACACTTGCATACCATATAACTTTTCATGTATCACAAAATAGTCCATTTCAGCAATCTGTTATTTTAATTCAAGTAAATAGCTGAGTGTATAATCAAAGACTTTTTTTTTTTTTTTTTTAATCCTCACTGGAGGAGTGAAGAAAGAGAAACATCAATTAGTTATGTGCTCTGACAGGATGGAACCTGAGACCCTCCAATGCACAGGCCGGTGTTCTAACCACTGAGCAAACTACCCAGGGCTATCAAATACTCTTTAAATTAATGGACTTTATTTCTTAATATATTTTTATTGATTTCAGAGAGGAAAGGAGAGGAAGAAAGATAGAAACATCAGTGAGAGAGAAACATCATTGATTGGCTGCCTCCTGCACGCTCTCTATTGGGGATCAAGCCTGCATGTGTCCCAGCTGGGAATTGAACCTGTAACCTCTTGGTTCATAGGTCAATGCTCAACTAACTACTGAGCCATGCCAACTGGGCTGGACTTTATTTCTTAGTAGTTTTAGATTTGTAAGATTAAATAGTATTTAGAGTTTCATAAACTCAACTTTACTTCACCTTTACACAGTAATCCCTATTAGCATCTTGGGTTAGCAGGATACATTTATTACAATTAAAAAGCCAATGTTAAGACACTGTTATTAACTACTAGAGGCCCAGTGCATGAAATTCGTGCATGGGGTTGGGAGGGTGTGTCCCTCAGCCCAGCCTCCACTCTCTCCAATCTGGGACCCCTTGAGGGATATCCAACTGCCCATTTAAGCCCTATCAAGGTAGGATGGGGCTTAAACAGGCAGTCGGACATCTCTCTCACAATCCAGGACTGCTGGCTCCCAACTGCTTGCTGGCTTGCCTTCCTGATTGCTCCTAATCGCTTCTGCCTGCCAGCCTGATCACTTCCTAACCACTTCCCTGCCAACCTGATTGATGCCTAACTGCTCCCCTGTCAGCATGATTGCCCATATCTGCCCTTCCCTGCAGGTCTAGTCCCCCCCCCCAAGCTGCCCTCTGCAGGCCTAGGTTCCCCCCCCAACTGTCCTCTGTAGGCCTCATCGCCCCCAACTTCCCTCTGCCAGCCTGGTCACCCCTAACTGCTCTCCCCTGCAGGCTTGATCGCCCCCAACTGCCCTCCTTTGCAGGCCTGGTTCCTGCCAACTGCCCTCCCCTGATGGCCATCTTATGGCGGCCATCTTGTGTATTGAAGTGATGGTCAATCTGCATATTACTCTTTTATTAGATAGGATAGAGGCCTGGTGCACGGGTTGGGGCCGACTGGTTTTCCCTGAAGGTATCCCAGATCAGGGTGGGGGTTCCCTTGGGGCATAGGGTGGCCTGGGCGAGGGGCCTGTGGTGGTTTGCAGGCCAGCCACTCCCCCTGGCAACGGCTGGTGGAAAGCTTGGCTTCCTCCATTGTCAGGGGAACCCAAACCTCCTGCTCTATGGACACAGCCATTTTTGTTGGGATTTATCTATCTTCTATAATTGAAACTTTGTAGCCTTGAGTGGAGTCCAGGCCTGCGAGGGTGTGCAGGAGGCTTGACTTCCTCCATTGCCCGGGAAATCCAAGCTTCCTGCTCGCTCTGTGGCTGCAACCATCTTGGTTGTGTTAATTTACATAGTCACTCCTGATTGGCTGGTAGGCATGGCAGAGGTACAGTCAATTTGTGTATTACTCTTATTAGGGTAATCTGTACTTACATTAATATTGCTCTATAATATATAGTTCTATGGGTTTTGACAAGTGTATAAATGATGTGCAACAATCACATCAGCAATATTTTGATTTTTTTTCTTCCTCGATCATTTAAAAATGTGGGTGGCTATACAACAACTGGCAGTGGGCTAGGTTTGGCGTGGAGCCTGTTGGCTAAACCCTGCTCTGGAGTCCAGATCATGGCACAAAGTACATTTGAGGGACCAAAATGTGCTCTGTGAGCTTTTTGCGGCATTGCCCAGGGATTTGGACGTGGCATCCTTTGTTTTCTGAGCCTGGGGTTTGCCCCTAGTACTGTTGGGTGGGAGGGTCACTTCTCTACCATCACCAAGTGTCCCAGAAAGAGGCCTTCCATGTCACTCAGGCACATAACGTCCTTTGCTCAGTTGAGTTAGGGACCTGATTTCCCACTGGTGCACTCTCCATATTTAAGCCCGAGCTCGGGCTTCTAGTGAGTGCTGGCACTTCAGAAGGGCTCTGCTGGGGACCTGGCCCACTGGCTTCTTGGCTGGCGGCCACACTGGATGAGCTTCTTGGGAAGGCTGCAGCGTCCTTTCCATTGCTTTGATGGGGGAGACCGGGCTTGCCTAGGAGGGAAGCCCTGACTATGCTTAGCTGAGTGCTCTGGAAGAAATGAGTTTTATAGTTAGTGGCCCTCCCTATCCTTTCCTGGCCTTAGTAGGCAACCAAAGGTGCCTCCAGAGTGCTGCCTCAGCCACCTGCAGCCTGGCCCTGTGGATAGGGGAGTGAGGTGACAACTGTCCAATATCTTGGGTGCGGATGGTCTTAGAAGTCTTCGTTCTGCAAGCAAAGCTCTTGTGTGTTCTTGTTTCCTCTAAGGTGCATATGGAACTGGTGTGGCCAGCTGGCAAGGTAGGCCCTTCTGGGGGTCAGTGGGTGGACACGAGGATGCAGGGACTCCCATCTCCCTTCCTAACTGCCTACAGCTCTCCTGAAGGCTTGCATGCTGGCCTGTGGTGCTGAGGAGGCCTCGAGGGGAACTTGCAGGCGATGAGGGGATCGTGGTTGCCTTCTGGGAGCAATGTCTCTGTGGTGGATCTGTCAACAGCCCAGCTGCTACTTCTGGGCTCTCAGCCACCTCTGGCTTTGGATGGGAAGCAAGTCTTAGGATCTGACACCAAAAACCTGCTCAGAATTGTGGTCTTGCCTCTATGGTTGTACAAAGGCAGTGTGGTGCGCAGTGTTGGTGCTGCAGGCGGCACTTGGTCCCATGGCCCTCGTTCTTCCCTGATGGCAGTGGGCACACCTCTATAGACACATCCGCCCTGCGCTGGCTTTGTGGCGGCTGAGGTCTGACTTGCCTCTCCTTCCCTTTGGCAGGTTATGAAAACTACAATTATTATGGTGCCCAGAACACCAGCGTCACCACTCCAGCAACCTACAGCTACGGCCCCGCCTCCTGGGAAGCCACCAAGGCTGGCGATGGCCTGGCGCCTGGGGGTCCTGCCATGCATATGGCTTCCTACGGCCCAGAGCCATGCACCGACAATTCTGACTCCCTCATTGCCAAGATCAACCAACGTCTAGACATGATGTCCAAGGAAGGAGGCAGGGGTGGGAGCAGCACCGGTGGGGAGGGCATGCAGGACCGGGAGAGGTAATTACAGACCCGAGCCCTTCCCTGGGGATCCAGACATCACGCTTTCCAGGGAGAGGGCACCTGCTCTTCCCGGGATGCTCTTCTCCAGCTCCCCCCTGGGCGTGGGTAGGGGAGATGGGCCTTTGTTGGGATAGAGCATTGCAATTGGACTTGCTGGTTTCCTCATTGGTGGGTTTCGGGCTTGGCTGTGGTTAAACTATGTCAGACTCCTGATTGCTGCACCAGGGCTTAACAGCCTCCCTGTTCTTGTGGCCAGTGGCTTGTGCCCACATTCGTTGTGTTTGGAGGGGAGTATTGGTCTGTTTCGCCTCCAGGCATTTAGGAGGGGCTCGTGGTGGTTTGGTTTGCTTTCTGTTCCGAGTGTAGGGAGGTCAGCTTTGCAGGAGGTGTAGAGATGGAACCCAGGCATGTAGTCATGGTTGTGCTTTCTTTGCAGTTCCTTCCGCTTCCAGTCATTTGACTCCTACGACTCCAGGCCTTGTCTGCCTGAGCACAATCCCTACCGTCCCAGCTATAGCTACAACTATGACTTTGACCTGGGACCTGACCGCAATGGTGGCTTTGGCAGTCAGTACAGTGACTGTCGGGACCCTGCCCGTGAGCCCCGCTCCCTCGATGGCTTCATGCGGGGCCGGGATCAGGGCCGCTTTCAGGATCGGAGCAACGCTGGCACCTTTTTGCGCAGTGACCCCTTCATGACATCAGCGGCCTCCTCCCAGCCACTGTCTACTCCCTGGACAGAGCTCAACTATGTGGGTGGACGGGGCCTGGGAGGCCCCTCTCCCAGCAGGCCCCCACCTTCCCTCTTCTCCCAGTCTATGGCCCCCCAGTCCATGGCCCCCAACTACGGAGTGATGGGCATGCAGGGGGCTGGAGGTTATGAAAACTCTGTGCCCTACCGATGTGGCCAGTCACAGACCCGGATGAGGGATCGGGTAAGCCCTTGCAAAGTTCTAACCTGCCTTCCTTGCTTTTCTTTCAAACAGCTTTGTTGAGGTAAAATTTAGAAATTTTGTAGGGTTCATTCATTTTTACGTGTATAATTTGACTTTTAGTAAAAATTTATAGACTTGTGCAACCTTCACAACCATCTAAGTTTTAGAACATTTCTGTCAACCCAGAAAGAAACTTCTGTCATTAGCAGCCACTCCATATTTCCTCCCCCAGTTCCTGGCAACCACTAACCTTTCTGTGCGTGGATTTGCCTATTTTGGACGTAACACATGAACACAATAAGTGTCCCTTTGTGTTTAGCTTTTTACATTCAGCATAACTGTTGTCGGGGGTTAATGATGTGTCCTCCTTTGCCTTCTGAAAAGACCTTGTCTATCCATGTTCTCTAGTCTTCTACCTCTTCCTTCCCCTGGGGTATCCTAATGGCCCGGGTAGTGGTACATCAGGATGTGCTTGTGTCTGTAGCCCAGGTGGAGAGGGTTTGACCGCTGCGGCCCAGATGGCATGGGCAGGAAACGGAAGCAGTTTCAAGGCTACGATGAGCCGGATGCCAAACAGGCCCGGGCTGACAGCGAAGGAGATTTTTCCGAGAATGGTATGCCCTGGGGGGGATGCAGTGAGTTCTTGGGGGTGTGAGTCAGTTGCATGCTTAGTGCCCTTGCCTGCCTGTCCATACAGTGGACACGCAGGAGCTCCGGGGTGCTGTGTGTCACCCAAACTCCCACAGCCCCCACTCAGGATAAGCTTCGACGTTCCGGACAGTGAGCTTGGGCGGGTGAAGACTGGGCTACCGCTGAGGGGCTAACTTTTCCAATTACTTTTGTGTCTGTAGACGATGGAGCTGGTGACTTCCGGTCAGGAGATGAAGAATTCAAGGGTGTAAGTCCACCGTCACTGGTCAGTCAGCCTCCTTTGTCTCTAGTGCAGGGTTTCTTCCTTATTTTAGCTTCTTCCTCACAGAGACAGGACCTACTGCTATGGGAGACTCACAGCTAATGTCCCACCTGTAATAGTCCTTGCCCTCCTGAAAACATTTCCCAGTCTTCCCCACCCCCTGTCCCCTCAGCCGCTCCTGTGTCCTTAGAGAAATGTGCCTACACAGTAAGTGCAGTGGCTGTGCAGACTGAGGCTTCCAAACAGGCACTGAAGACTTGCCAGCGTCACGCTGGTGCTGAGCTGATCCCTGTCATTCAGTCCTCAGCTGTTAGCCAGGCCCGTGCAGGAGGACCTGGCAAGTGAACCTTTGCCACTCCCTGTAAATTCTGATCCAGTTCTAGGGTAGGGCTTTGTACAGATGCATCGAATGGTCAGGCCGGTTGGTGGAAGATAGAAGTTGGATACAGTGAGTTCTCAGCATTTCTGAGGGACTTGCTCGCCCTATGTTTGCTTCAGTCTTTTTCTTTTTTTTTTTTTCCCCCAATATATTTTATTGATTTTTTACAGAGAGGAAGAGAGAGGGATAGAGAGTTAGAAACATCAATGAGAGAGAATCATCGATCAGCTGCCTCTTACACACCCCCTACTGGGGATGTGCCCGCAACCAAGGTACATGCCCTTGACCGGAATCGAACCTGGGACCTTTTAGTCCGCAGGCCGACGCTCTATCCACTGAGCCAAACTGGTTTCGGCTTGCTTCAGTCCTGAGTCTAGAAATCATTGTGTACGTGCTGATTAGTAATTTAATCTTTGGCTTGATGGCTACAAAATGGACCCCCTTTCCATTTTCAGTTAGATGGTCATTTTTATCCACACCTAATTTTTTACAGCCTTTGGTAAATACAAAATGCCTGGGAAACTTGGTAAAACCCATTTTCAATAAAGAGCACTAGAAGTAGCATCCTACAAATCAGGGTTTCCTGACATACAATTTATGAATGGGCTCCTGGCATTCCCACGTGCAGAGCTGCGCAGGTGTGCATTGCCAGAGGCCGTTCTTTAGCTTTAGAAAGAGCTGAAAAGTCAGTGTCTTGAATAAAAAAGCAAAAGGGGTTGGTCATCACAGAATCCCAGTGGTGACAGGATGCACTCGGGTTCTGTCCCATAGCCCTTGACCTCATCCTGACATCTTGGGTTCCTGGTGGCTTAGCAACCACCAGTAGTGGCAGGGGGAGCTAGGTTGGTGTGGAGAGTTCTGGAAACCACCTCACTGCCCGACTTGGTATGTGTCCTTTTTCAGGAGGACGAATTCTTGGATCCCGGGAGGCAGAGAGGTAGGTATTGCCCATTGAACTTCACTGTCTGCCCAGCTACCCTGCACTCACTGCCCAGCTCTCAGCTGAGCAGGGTTTCTGAGCAAGCCGTGGGCCTGGATGGAGGGGGTGATGGCTCAGGGCAGGAGAGGGGCTGTGATTACTGGGTGAGCTTTGGCCATAGCACTCACCCCAAGGCTTTGCTCCATTGTAAATGCAGGTTATGGAGAGGGAGGGGGAAGCTCATCTGGGGGTGGGTGTCTGCAGCAGCTTGAGGGGTAGTGAAGGGAGTCTCAGAAATGTGAGAGAAAAGGTGCCCTCCAGCTGTGTTCTCAGGGGAGTCATCTCCACGGTTCCTTCGATTGCCAGTCCAGGGCCATGGAGCTGCCTCAGCCTTAATGGTGGGATTGCTGGCAGCTGCAGTCACATTGCTGCATGGGACAGAGTTTGGACACCTGCCTGGATTGGGAGCTTGGGGCAGGGGGGAGTCTGTCAGATACACCCAGACCAGACACCCTAGAGGTAACCATTGCTCACTGCTCAGCAGGTCCTGTCAGCTCCAGTGCCGGGGACAAGGGTAAAAATTTAGTGGCAAAAGCAAAGCCAAATTAAACCTCTTGGTCTAAGTTAGGGGTGTGGAGGGGGCATGGAGAAGCAGCCTGGGACATGGTGGCCTTGAGCTTACCCAGAAGCCACTTTTCCTGTTCCCATGGGTCTTGTTCGTAGCTGGTTTTCCTCAAGAATCAGAGGCGGCTGCTGCTCCCGTCAATTCTGAAGGCCCTGCCTTAGCTACGTCTTCCCTTCTGTGTGCAGGTTTAGCCAACCCTCCGAGGTCTTCTCACTCTGTTTATTGAAGCGGTCATGTTTGTAGCATGGGGACACACAACATTGAGCAGCTTGTGCAGCGGGGAAAATGCTAAAGCAAAGGTGACATGTTTATTGCGTGCAGGTCCTGCTACCTACTCTGGATGACTTTGCTATTAAACAGCAGTAATAGTTTCAGGCAGTGACCTCTTGCCAAAAATCCCACACGCCCTTTTGAGAGGCTTCTGAGCAGCGCACGCCGGTCGCCATCTTCGTGGGACAGTCTCGTGACTGGCATCAGGGGTAGGGGTTACAGTTCAGATGCTTATCCAACTTTTTTTCAGCGTCTGGCCCTGCTTTGAGCCACGGTGACCTGAACCTGGCCTCACGCTGGGACACTGGGCTGGCCCCAGGAGATGGATGGAGGACCGATAGGTCTCTTCCTACTTCTCTTTCTAGGATTGCTTCCCACATAGCCGTGGGAAAGCCCTAGACGGACAGTTTTCATGAGTGGAAGATAGAGTTCGGGCCAGCAAGGACTGACAGACCTGCTGCGGCCCTAGTTCAGAGGAGGCCTACGGGATGGTTGTCAGGGCCCACCTAGAGGTGGGCAGAGGGAGGTAGAACAGCTGTATTTTCTGAGGCCTCTAGCTGCTGCCTCTTTACCCAGGAAGAACTACTCTCTCAACTGATGTTGGGAAAACCCACTCATAAGGCACTGGATTGGAAACGCAGGATAGGGGAGAATAGAAATCAGGTGGGCCTCAGTGTGAGTGGGATAGGTGGGCCATGTCCCTGGCCCACCCCAGCCTTACCAGGCCATGGGGGGAGTGAGGTATCTCCCCTGGGAACGCCCCAGGGTTCTCATCCAAGCTCATACTTGGAGCTTTTGACAGAGCCTTGGTGCCTGAGGGTGTCCTGACTCTGCCGTGTGTGGAGGCAGCAGCAGGGCACAGGGTGCAGTGGCCGAGCCGCAGCCCCATCAAGGCCCTGGTGCTTAGCTCTTCGGTGCGCTCTCAGAGGGTCTTGAAGGGATTTCTCTGTTGCAGAGAAGGATGACGAGGATGATGAAATGAAGAAGAGGAAGGAGAAACAAAGGAGAAGAGACAGGCTGCGAGACCGGGCAGCTGACAGGTGAGGTGGCAGGTCAGCTGGACCTGGCTCTCCTAGCTCATCTGTTCTTACTCCTTGATGCAGGCGGAGCCTGGTTTGAGCTAGCTCCAGGTGTCTGTGGGAAGTCCTAGTCACAGTGGTGGGAGACAAAACTTGAGAAACATGAATGGAATCATATTCTTGCCAGAGATCCGTCCCTATGGCCCTCAGGTGCCCAGCCAGACGTCTGTTGCCCTCTAACATGCCTTTGGGGAGTTTCCTTGCCCCCCTGGCCTGTGTCCGTCATCCCAAACAGTGATCTTCAACAAGCAGGGTGGCGAAATTGGTGATCTGGTGCGTTGTCCAAATCCAGACTCCAATCTGGAGTTGGATTTACCAATTGTACGTGTGTTAGTGCTACCTTTAAATAGAAAAAGCACAAAAGCGCAAAGCCAGAGTGTTGGTGTGACCACACAGTGCACTTCTCCCCTTGTTCAGTGGTTATGTGGCTGCTGACTAGAGAAGTAAACCACTGGTGGCCATGGCCATGGGAGCCCTTGGTTACCAAGATCTTAACCACGCACGGCTGCTTCTGCACTGGTTCTTTAATGACTTGAGAGGGGACTCCATGCTCTTAAGGCTCACCTGGGGTAGCGATTTTCCTGTGCAAAGAACACTCCCCAAAGGGATAACAGAAACAGGAATTGAAATGTAGGAGCTTACAGGTGTTAAAAGAATTCATCACAACCCTTGTAAAGTCCTAGCTTGTTTGCACAGTGGTTAGAGCATCGGCCCTTAGACTGGGGGGTCCTGGGCTCAATTCTGGGCAAGGGCATGTACCTTTGTTGCAGACTCCATCCTGGCCCTGGTCAAGGCAACCAATCAACGTGTGTCTCATGTTGATGTTTCTGTCTCTATATCTCTCCTGTCCCTTCCACTCTCTCTAAAAATAAAAATAGAAAATATATCCTCAGATAAGGGTTAACAACAAAAAAAAAAATCCTTGTTAAGTAGATGAGTAAAGCTCTAACCGGTTTGGCTCAGGGGATAGAGTATCGGCCTGCAAACTGAAAGGTCCCAGGTTTGATTCCGGTCAAGGACATGTACCTTGGTTGTGGGCACATCCCCAGTTGAAGGTATGCAAGAGGCAGCTGATGTATGTTCCTAACTCTCTTTCCCTCTCTCCCTATCTGAAAAAAAATCAATAAAATATATATTTAAAATAAAAAAAATAGATGAGTAAATAAATGATTGCCAGATTTGATCTATTTACATGTCACATGAGAACTTGGATGACATTTTTTAAAAATATATTTTATTGAATTTTTTACAGAGAGGAAGGGGGGGAGAGAGAGAGAGAGAGAGAGAGAGCGAGCGCGCGCGCTAGAAACGTTGATGAGAGAGAAACATTGACCAACTGCCTCCTGCACACCCCCAACCGGGGATGTGCCCACAACCAATGTACATGCCCTTGACCGGAATCGAACCAAGGACCTTTCAGTCCGCAGACCAACGCTCTACCGGTGAGCCAAACCGGTTTCGGCTTGGATGACATTTTTAAAAAAGAATCTTAAAATCTTGCCCTAGTGACGGTTCTCAGAGCAATTATCAATTGATGGAGCAGTTATTGCAGAGGAGGTGGAGGTACAGCCAGGAAACATATTTCTTTCTAATAGTTCTGCACATAGAGCCTGGGTGACTTTTTCCCCTCTTCATTCCTGTGTTCTGGTATCTACAAAATCTTGTGGCACTTGCCTAGAGATCCAAGCCAGGTGTTAGAGGCCCGCAGAATCTGGCGTGGAGAGGAATCCTGAGTGCCATGTGGCTGTGTTTTTACCCCAAAAGATCCAGAGGCTCTTGGGCAAAGCAAGGGAAGCAGCACTCCACTGTGGGGGGTGCAGGTCTGCAGGCCACCCTCTCATCGCCTTACAGCGTGATTGCATTTGTGAGACTTTGAAAGCCCTCGACAAAGAAACCTTAGTTTTTATTCGTGAATTTGACATAACGTGCGTTTAAGTTGAATCCTGTTGGAGAATTTTTCTTAGATCATGTCAAGTTTGTTTGTTTTTTAATCTTCACTTGAGAATGACGTGCTTAGAGGAAGGGAGAGAGACATCAATGTGAGAGGGAAACATCGATTGGTTGCCTTCCGCACATGCTCTGACTAGGAATCAAACCTGAAACCCAGGTACATCCTCTGACCTGGAATTGAACCAGCTACCTAAAATTGAGTCGCTCAAAAAGACTGGTATGGTAGTAAATTGCTATATGGATCATTTTCCTGAATACTTTCAAGATTGTACTCCCAATCCTTGAAATTGCTTTCCTTTTTTTTAACTGTTTTATATATAAATATACATATACATATAAATTTATTATTTCAGAGAGGAAGAGATAGGGGGAGAGAGAGGAAGAGAGAGAGAGACACATCAGTGATGAGAGAAAATCACTGATCAGCCACCTCCTGTGTGCCTCTGGGAATCAAACTGTGACTTAGTTCATAGGTCAACACTCAACCACTAACCACTGAACCACACCAGCTGGGCAGGAAACTGCTATTCTTGACTCCCCGTGAGAAGTCCTAAGTTTTGGTTCAGAGACTGCTTTCCCATTTTTGTTTTAGTTCTAAACACAGATGAACTGGTTATTCCTGCATCACTGTTTTTGCTTTTTGTCCTCCTCCAGGATTCAGTTTGCCTGTTCCGTGTGCAAGTTTCGGAGCTTTGAAGATGAAGAAATCCAGAAGCATCTGCAAAGCAAATTTCACAAAGAGACACTACGGTTTATAAGTACCAAACTGCCTGACAAGACGGTGGAATTCCTTCAGGTGACGCACACTTGGCCCCTCTCACAGTGCTTCCACTGGTCCTACAGGTGTCAGATCCCTCACAAGGGAAGTAAAGGGAAATAAGGTCTAAACTTGGTGAAGATTTCTATTTCCAGAAGAGCAGTTGGTCTAGTCCCCATGTCAGGAATAACAGTTCCAACCATTGTAGTTCCCATTAGTTCTGCCCACAGGGCTGCCCTGACTGTCACCCGGTAGGGGCTTGGCTAACACTCGTGGTGAGCTGCCTCCCATGCAGTTGAGAAATACCCACATGTGCTGTCCTCTGCTGATTTCATTGGGTGCTGTGTCTCAACCCCTTTAGGAATACATTGTAAACAGGAATAAGAAGATTGAGAAGCGACGTCAGGAATTGATGGAGAAGGAAAGCGCAAAACCAAAACCAGATCCTTTCAAAGGCGAGTTGTGGTCCTCGGGGCGTGCTGTGCTGCGTGGCACTAAGACTCATGATTCAGTGCAAACCAGCACAGGGCTGCTGAGGATGTAACGTGAAGACCCCAAGGCTGATGGTGCCTCTCAGATTCGGTCCTAACGGAATCCCTAGAGGGCTGCAGGGAGGAAATGTGGGCCTTGTTGGGGGAGGGAGCATTACATGCATGCTGTCCCGGATCCCGCGTGACTTGGTTTCATCAACAGGGATTGGCCAAGAGCACTTCTTCAAGAAGATCGAGGCTGCTCACTGCCTGGCCTGCGACATGCTGATCCCTGCGCAGCACCAGCTCCTCCAGCGGCACCTGCACTCGGTGGATCACAATCACAACCGCCGGGTGAGTCCCCTCCTGGGGCTGGCTGCCTGCGGGGCGCTCTTTCCCTCCCCTCCTGGGCTTCCAGGGGAAGTTTCAGAGCCTCTGTGTCTCGTAAGGAAGGCTAACGTCTTCAGGGGCTCTTGCCACATCCCATCAAATCTGTCACTGTATCAGTTGATTGTATAACACATCCTTACTAGCTTATGGGGCCTGAGGCTAAAAATTTAGTTCGGGTCAGCAAATATTTCTGTAAATGGTCAAATTGTAAATATTTTCAGCTTGCAAGCCATAGGGTCTCTGTCCAACAAGTCTGCTTTTGGCGGGCAAAAGCAGCCACAGATAGTAAGTGAAAGAATGGGTGTGGCTGCTCTTGGCCCTCCGGCTGTAGCTTGATGATCCCCGAGTTAACATCTCTGCTCTTAGTTTACCCAATGATGAAATGGAGCTCTCAGTACCTGCCTGCCCCCCTCCCCATTTTTTGTTTGTTTGTGTGCTTTTTTTATTTTTAGGAAGAAAGAGGAAGGCGAGGTGGGGGAAGGAGAGAGAAATGGTGATTTGTTGTTCTACTTATTTATGCATTCGTTGGTTGCTTCTTATAGCACAGCCTCGGCATATCAGGATGGTGCTCTAACCAACCAGCCGGCCGGCCCGGCCTGGGCTCCCCATGTCCCAGTTTCGTTAAAGAGCAGCCAAAAGCACTCTATAGACAAGTGATTACTGGCTGTGTGTCAAGCTGTTTTTGAGCTTTCACAGTTTTGCTGTTGAACTTATTATAAAGTCAGTACAACTCAAAACTGAAAAGAGAAAGCTTACTCCTTTCCCTACTTAGTTTACAAAGCTTCTAATCTGTAAATGAACAACTTGATGTAGCCTGGCTGGTGTGTTCTCCTGCTCCTGTATATCGCCATTTTTAAAAAACTAAGTGTGGTTTCCTTTGCAGTTGGCTGCTGAACAGTTCAAGAAAACAAGTCTCCACGTGGCTAAGAGTGTTTTGAACAACAGACATATAGTGAAGATGTTGGAAAAATACCTCAAGGTTAGGAGTCCAATGGATGGGGAAAACTCTCTAAATGGAGAATGAACTAGGAGTGTGGAACTGTATCTCGAGTGCAGTGCTTAGCATTTCTGAGTGTTTTGACGAATTGAGGGATATTGGAATGGATCAGGCTTGGGAATTCCACAACTGGATTTCCCGAGACAGAGTGCTTGCTTGGGAACTCTGGGTGTGGTTCTGCCTGATTAATCTGTACAATTGTGTTGATTCTCTCCATGAGAAACATTGACTGTCTATAAAATACTGAGCAAGTGACAGTGAGATGCTTAAAAAGAAACATATCCAAGGTAGGTAGTTGTCCAGGAAAGAAGCTAAAATGAGGTTTTGCTGGAAGATCCAACTGACAATAAAATGGGGGATCAAGGCGCAGGGAAGAGCCAGAAGTGCCTCAACCACAGCCACAGTGTCAGGAGCAGAGTAACAGGAAGTCCCAGAGAAGGGGCCTGGGAGAGAACTTGGAAGAGCCTCACCTGGTTCCTCCTCGGGAAGCCACTTGCTAAGTGCTCAGTCCCATGACTTGAACATCCAAGGCTGGTAGCTAAGCTGCAGCATAGCCTGGCTAGGACTTGTTTGCCCTCCTCTCAGTTATTAAAAGGTTCAGTACCGAAGGGATGGGGGTTCGATTCCCCGTCAAGGGCATGTACCTGGGTTGTTCCCACCCTGGGTCTGGGTGCCTGCGGACGGCAGCCAGTCAATGTGTTTCTCTCACATTGATGTTTTTCCTTTCCTTCTCCCCCTCTTCTCTCCCTTTCCCCTCTCCCTTTTTTCCCCCTGTCCCTCATTTTTTCTCCCTCCTTCCCTTCAATTCTGAAAGCAATGGAAAAAATATCCTCAGGTGAGGCTTCACCAAAAGGAAAATAGTACAAAAGGGTTCTAGCGAAGCTTTTCAGAGATGTCTTTTCTGAATCTATAGGCTCTGGGATCCTTTAGGATTAACTCACCTGGTATAGTTTAAAGTATTTCTCTTGCCCTGTCCAATGTGGCTCAGTTGGATGGAGCATCGTCCCATGCACTGGAAAGTCATAGGTTCAATTACTAGTTAGGGCACATGCCTAAGTTACGGGTCAGATCACCAGTAGGGGCGCATATGGGAGGCAGCCAATCAGTGTAGCTCTCTCACATGAATGTTTCTCTGTCTCTCTCCCTTCTCTAAAATCAATAAACGAATAATGTATCTCTTGTTGATTGCTCATCATGAAAATCGAGCTTCCACCCAGCAACCTGGGTCTCCTTCCACTAATGTGAACAGTCTTTAGACCACTGACCTGTTTCTTCTTGCCAGGGTGAAGACCCTTTCACCAATGAAGCTGTTGATCCAGAAATCGAAGGAGTTGACAATTTAGGAGGCGATGATAAGGAAGAGACACCTGAGGAAGTGGCCGCAGAAGTGTTAGCTGAGGTGATCACAGCAGCGGTGAAGGCAGTCGAGGGGGAAGGAGTGCCCACTCCAAAAAGTATTGAAATGCCGGCTGAAGGGGAAAGCCCCGGGGACAGCGCAGGGGCCACCAGTGGTCCCCATCCTGAACAGCCACCAGAAGCAGACACACACTGTGGAATGGCATCTGGGAAGGGGGATGCGCACGCAGAGGCCGGCAGTGAAGGTGCCCAGGCTGGGAACCCGGACGCAGAGGCCGGAAGTGAAGGTGCCCAGGCTGGGAACCCGGACGCAGAGGCCGGAAGTGAAGGTGCCCAGGCTGGGAACCCGGACGCAGAGGCCGGAAGTGAAGGTGCCCAGGCTGGGAACCCGGATGCAGAGGCCGGCAGTGAAGGCGCCCAGGCTGGGAATAAGGTTGCAGAGGCGGAAGGTGAAGCAGAGGCGGAAGGCACTGTAACAGTCCCTGTTCCTGCTCCAGCTGCCACAGAAGCTGCAGTGGACCAAACTGACGCAGAGTCCAAAGACGTCACTCCCACAGAATGAGCCTCCTTTCCCTGTTTCAAGGGATGTGTTATATGATGCATTGATCTTTGGTTTGTAAGTAGTACTAGGGTGTGTGTTACTGGAATATGCTGACAACATTTTGGTGAAGAGACCCAGCTCTTTCCTTCAGAAAAACGTACCTCATGGGCTTGTCTTAGAGTTGTGTGGCTTTCTGCCTTGGTTTGAAAGCCACAGAAATACATTCCCCCAAGCAGCTGTGGAATAATAAGAGTTGGGCAATTAGATTTTGATACTTTGCTTGTTAAGAATGCCCTTCTTTTATTATTATTATTTTGTCTGGGAGCAGCTCATTATTACTAGGATATATCTTACTTTATAAAGATATTTTTTTTTAAAGTTTTAAGAATTTGCTTTGGCTTTAGTTTTCGACCTCTGCTTTTATAGCTCACTGAATGGGGTGCGATTCTCACAAGAAGTAGCAGAATCTTGTTAACGTGATCCTCGTCCTGGCACATGGATGAACTCCTACAAATGCACCACTGGAAGCACCCCCAGTGGTCCCTCAAGACTAAGGACACTTTGCCTCACTCAGGCACTGTTTCCCAATCTTTAATCCTTGGAGAATTACCTTCAGAATTGATCTCGTGTGTTCCACCTCTGCATTACTTTAGGGCCTTTTCTTTAAATCAAGTTACTTTCTCTTAAATGTAATAAAAAAGAAAACTTGGTGTTCCTCCCGTGAATGGAAAACCAATATAAATCGCCACAGATATGATGCTATCTGTAAAAAATTAATAAAATGAAGTAAACATTTCATTTTAAATACTCTTCCTTTGGAGGTTTCTGAGTCTGAGAACGGAAAGGTAGCATGTGTTAAAGTGTAGCAAGCACTAGTTACATGTTCATACAATCAAAAGAACTGGAAGAGACGTACCTTTTGAAATGATATTGCTGGGTCTATTTCCCTGTAAACTTTTGAACTGTCAAATTTGAGGACACATTGGCCAGTGGGAAATGATTTTAAAAGAGGTAGTAAAAATATTTGATGAGCATCTACTGTGTACCAGGTGCTAATTCATGATAAAAATAAGAGATGAGCACTGTTCTTAAGGAGCCTTACTAGAGATGTAAGATGAATATTTATGAAAAAGTCTACATTAGAACTAAATAAACTATTCAATAAGCAAGAAAATGGTGCCTCTGAATTGTCTCTGCTCATCATTTCTTACTGCCTAGATATGGTTTAGTCATAGGTTCAACAAGGTCTTTGAAGCTTAATTCTCTTGAGGCAGAAATTGTTGGTGATGTTGAAAATTGTCTGAAAAAGGATAACAAAACTATGAAATTGCTTTGTTTTGATTTTGTAAAAGTAATCCAAGACCTGTCATAAAATATATCTCAATTTCAGTGAGGTTCTTCTACCCCCCACCCTGTGTGAAATAACACTGTCTTTTATTTTATTGATTTCAGAGAGGAAGGGAGAAGGGGCAAAAAACATAGAAACATCAATCATGAGAGAGAATCATTGATTGGCTGTCTCCTACATGGCCCCTCCTGGGGATCGAGCCCACAATCTGGGCATGTGCCATGACCAAGAATCAAACCAAGACCTGGTTCATAGGTTGAAGCTCAACCACAGCCATGGTGGTCAGGCGATCTTTTTTGGGGGGGAGGAAGGGAAGGAGGGACGGAGAGAGAAACATTGATGTGAGAGAGATACATCAATTGGTTGTCTCCTACATGCCCCTGACTGGGGCCCAGCATGGGACCTGCAACTCGCTACTGCCCTTGACCAGGAATTAATGCTCTAATCACTGAATCAAACCAGCCAGGGCCAGTCATTTTATTTCTAAAAGTAGGTTGAACCAGGCCATCATTCTTCATGATGGGGAGTAACAACTTGGGTTGCACAAAGGAATGCCTTTATAGTTCCTGAGATGACATGAAAAAATTGCAAGCTTCCTCATTGGGAACTAACATTTACATTATTTCTGAGGTTGGGGTCATATGTCGATGAGGTAGGGATGTCCAAATTAATGCAGAGGTCTGTGACATAAGAATGGCCAATAAAGGGTACCTTTCTTTAAAAACAGGTTAATACACATGACAGTCGATGCTGTCCAAGCAAAAGATATTTTAGGGATGGCAACCTAATTATAATTTCATGCATTCATGTTACTGGCCTGTATGATTTCATTGGGTTTTTATGGAATTAATACAGTTGCTAAGGGGGAAATAATACAATGTAATGAGCAAAGTGCCCATTCAAGAGTACATATTGCCGAAACCAGTTTGGCTCATTGGATAGAGCATCGGGCTGCGGACTCAGGGGTCCCGGGTTCAATTCTGGTCAGGGGCATGTACCTTGGTTGCAGGCACGTCCCCAGTGAGGGGTGTGCAAGAGGCAGCTGGTCGATGTTTCTCTCATCAATGTTTCTAGCTTTCTATCCCTCTCCCTCTCTGTGAAAAATCAATAAAATATATTTTTTTAAAAGTACATATCATTAGTATTAAATCCAAAATAAGAATTTTGGACCATAAATTTCCACTGCCTGATGATCTGGCATGGTCTGTTCACCACAAGTGTGGGCAGTAGTGATTACACAGGCACAGTAGAGTGAATTTTAGAACTAACAAAAGTAGAAGAGCCTTTTAACATTTTACTTTATTTTTAATATATTGATTTTGTACAGAGAGGAAGGGAGAGAGATAGAGAGTTAGAAACATCAATGAGAGAGAGTCATCAATCAGCTGCCTCTTGCACACCCCCTACTGGGGATATGTCCGCAACCAAGGTACATGCCCTTGACCGGAATTGAACCCGGGACCTTTCAGACCCCAAGCCTACACTCTATCCATTGAGCCAACCCAGTTTTGGCTTAACACTTTATTACAAGAGCTTGCTTGGGGGCTCAATAAATGGATGGGCATGGGGGAAAAAACCTATGGGTATGGCTTTGCACTGATTTAACACTGATGGCTCTGGTAATTCAGAAAGTATTGGGCCACTTTCCTATATCTTATATAAGGACACTGAAGTCTATCAAAGTAGTTGTGTTTTTGCAATTGGACTTAAAAGTCTCTGTACCTTCTCTCAAAACACTCTGATTGCATACTTTATACAGAAAAGAACTTAGAATTTAGTTTTGTGAGCAGTATGAAGGGATAGGAGGCAGTCCATTCTCACAGGGTTGGCACTCAGAATTAGTGAGATGATAAACATTTTAGTGCATTGAAAAAGTGGTTCGGCAAGCTTGACATCTTTTTTTTTTTAGATATAAAATTCACAGATGAGCCATTAACCGTTGTAAAGTGGATGATGCAGTGGCATTTGGTACACTCAAAATGCTGTTAACGCCACCACCAATATCTGGTCCAAGACATTTTCCTCCCCTAAAAGGAGGCCCTTACCCATTAGTTGTCAGCCTCATCCTCCTCCCCCATTCCCTGACAACCACTAATCTGCTTTCTGTATCAATTTATTCTGGATATTTCATATAAAGGGAATCGTGACACATGACTTTTTCAGTCTGATTTTCACTAAGCATGTTTTTTGAGGTTCCTCCATGTTGTAGCTTGTATCAGTACTTCATTTCTTTTTATGGCTGAATAATATCCTGTTGTACATATATACTACATTTGTTTTATCCAGTCATCCAATAGTGGACACTTGAGTAGTTTCCACCTTTTGACCATTGTGAAGAGTGTTGCTATTATCGGGACAAGTATCGGTAATTGTTTTCAGTTTTTTTTGGGTAAATCCCTAGGAATGGAATTATTGGTTCAAATGGTAATTCTCTGTTTAAATGTTTGAGGAACACCAAATTTTTCCACAACAGCTGCCCATTTTACATTCCCATCAGCAGGGTTCCAATTTCTCCACTTGCTTACCAATACTTAGTTTCCTTTTTCTTTTTTACTCCAGCCATCCTAGTGGGTGTGAAGTGGTAGCTGAGTATGGTTTTGATCTATATTTCCTTAACTAATGATGGGCATCCCTTCAGGTGCTTGTTGGTCATTTGTTTTATCTTTCGAGAAATGTCTATACAAGTTCTTTGCTTTTTTAAATTGGGTTTTCTTTTGTTGAGTTGTATATTAGACACTTATCAAATACGATTTGCAGTGATTTGTATTCCCCGCCCCCCCCCTCCCCCACTGTCTGGGCTATCTTTTCACTCCCTTAATAGTGCCCTTTGATGCAAAAACAGTTTTGTTTCTTTTAGATTTCCCAAATATCAGATCATGTCATCTATGAATAATGACTGTTTTTACTTGTTCCTTTCCTACATGGATGCCTTTCATATCTTTTTCTTGCCGGATTGCTCTGAATGGAACTTCCAATACAATGTTGGAATTCTTGTAACATTTCTTTTTAAAGTTATTTATATCTCAGTAATATTTCTCCTGACTGTAAATTCCATTAAGTTTACATGGAAGGACAAATATTCTAATCCCAACCAATCCACTTGAGCTGTATTCTTTGAATAAAGAACATAAAGAATGCCCAAACCGGTTTGGCTCAGTGGATAGAGCGTCGGCCTGCGGACTGAGGGATCCCAGGTTCGATTCTGGTCAAGGGCATGTTCCTTGGTTGTGGGCACATTCCCAATAGGAGGTGTGCAGGAGGCAGCTGATCGATGTTTCTAACTTTATTCCTCTCTCTTCCTCTCTGTAAAAAAAAAAAAAACTATTAAAAAAAGAACATAAAGTATAGATAAAACCTTCTTTTGAGAGCTACATTTATGAGTCACAGGTCAACAAGTTGTGTACTCAGTGCCTGTAAGGCCCAGGCAATGTGGGTACATGTATCACATCTTTGCTTAGTAACCTGTTCAAAGATACCCACTCAGGACAAAGCCTCAGCTTCCCCATGGGAAATGCCTGGGGATTTTGGCTTCTCAGATGCTCACAATGATTTGGGAACATCTCTAAATAAATAGGAGTGAAGATAACTCACAAACACGTCACAAATTTCCCTTTATTTGTTGCCATAAAATTCTGTGAAAGAATTTCTCTTTAGAGATAACCCCCAAAGGCCA